CTTCCATTTGTTTTGATTTTCTGTTTATATTTCGTTGTTATTTCGTCACCAGCATGGCAACCTCATAATATCCATTGTTCAATTTTTCAAAATTTTAAATTCATTTTTTGTGCTTATTTTGAGCCTATTTTAATTTATAAAGGGATTCTGCACACCTACAGGAAAATAGCTTTCTAACAGTATGCGTAGATTTTCCCTACGATGCACACAAGCTGAGAAAAAAGGTTTTAAAGAAACATGCTTGCTATTAATATATAGATAGATGGTCGTAATGTAGGCCTAAACAAATCTGAAGAGGGAACTTTAAATGCCTTTGGGGCAGAGCCCCAAGGGAATTAACTTGTTTCTCTTTGATGGCTCATCTACAGACCAAGACCTTTCTTTAGAGACCCCTACCAAGTTTCTACGCCCAGCCGTTCTCTGAAATTAGCTGTGACAAAAACCCATTTTCCCCCCATAAGAATAACATGGGATGGGAATTTAAAGGCCACTGGGGCAGAGCCCCAAGGGAATTTACCACGTTTCTCTTTTGATGGCTCATCTACAGACCATGCCCTTTCTTTAGACACCTCTACCGAGTTTCTACGCCCAGCCATTCTCTCAAAATAGCTGTGACAAAGAAAAACATTTTCAAATTAATATATAGATAGATAGATAGAAGAATAAGATCAATTGTTTTACTAACACAATGTCTTTGGTCTTCTGGGTACGACCGCGTCGGAAAACTTGGAGGAACACTAGTTGCTGATGTTTTCGGCTTTGTTGCAGATAGCCATCTTCAGAGATGGTGACAGGCACTAGGCCTAACTGGATCAATTGTTTTGTTTTTGTCTGAAACAAAAATAATGCTTTTCAAAACTTTTTCCAGTTGATGTTTTAAGACTTGTAGCGTATCCAGTGCTTTTCAAGATGCTCTCTTTAAACCCTTTGTTAAGTAGGTTATATTGCATTGTTTCAGTGAAAAATGTCAGCAGGCACAAATTTAGTGGTGCCAGTGGTTCTGTGGGGGAAGTACCCCCCCACCCACTGTATATCCTGTATTTTCCTGTCCAAAGACCACCGAACACTAGTCACTGGATGTCACGATGGACAGATTTGCTTGTGGCAAGTGGAGCCAGATACCCTCAAAGTAAGCGAATCTCCAATCATAATATAACTTAATCCATTATTAAAAAAAAACTTTTGAAAATTAGTGTGGTTTAAAGTTGTGAAGTATAGATTGAGCTGGAAAACATTTTCTGTTGGACAATGCCGGCTCCTGCAGACCTTGGACTTGAAAAAATAAAATTAAGAAAGCACTTAGTTGGAATCTGCAAAAGTTTGTAAAACTATAGCTATGAATTTACATGTACTTAATAAGAATGATATTGGACAAAGTATTCTGAAGTTTTCTTTTTAAAATAAATTAAGAGTTGGTTCGAGTTTTTAGGGTAAATAGGCCTAGTTGTCTATCAATTTCTCTATGATAAAATCGATGTATGCTCTATTTTTCTATAACAGTTCAGAGATTCATCCTACTAGCTCAACTGAATAGTGACACATAAAAATATAACATACAGGTACATTGTGATAACGCTCAAGTTGCAAAGACTTGCAGGTACTTGTAACAACACGTCTGTAAGTCATGAGAAAATATTTTGACATTGGCTTACCGCACTTGATATGACCGGATAAACCAAGGACTGGTAAAGCCAAGGCCGGATAACAGGGGTTCTACTGTAACAGCTTACTCAAACTTAACAAGAAACCACACATGAGGTATCCTTTACACTGTGTTTTAATATCCCCTAGTGAAATTCCAATTAAGTTAAATAAAATGCAAAACTGTGAATTCCAAATTCCGTCTTTAACGTATTCAGCTGGATTCAGCTGGTAGATAGTATAATTTGTATAACTATTTGTTTGGCCTCGTAACTATATAGAATCATGGTATTACATGTTAAAGTAACGGTTGAAATTCCAGATGACGCCGCGTTGTCTACTAGTCGGCCATACGGCCCCGATCCTGTGTCTGGCTAAGGCTAGCATTGTCATGGACAACAACTACATCGTCAGCTCTTCTGAGAGTGGGTGAGTAACAGTCAACAATTAATTTGCTCAACTCTACCTTGGTTTTAGATCAGCAGCAGTAGCGTGCAGGGGTTGAAGTCCATACTCACACTCGGTCCACTTTCTATAATTTCATCCAATATTACTATTTTGTATTTAAAATTGATTGAGTAAGCATGAGACAATGATATAATGTCTCTGTGACCACGGGAGATGTTTTTGATTTTTTAATGAGGTTGGCAGCTTTTTTACTCTGCACCTGCCCATCCACAAGGGCTACTGAAACCTCTGTGTGGAATGTATATAGCAAAGCAAGGGGTTAGTTAATACAGTACAAGGGTAAACATCTATCTATATCTATCTATATTTATAAAATCCAATGTATGTTTGTTAATTGTTTGTTTGTCCTTCATGGACTCCAAAACCGCTGGACAGATTGTGATGAAACTTTCAGACATTATTAAGAATTATTCAAGGATGGTTTGTGTGAAGTTTGGTGGCAGATCTGTCAAAAGGGCTCCGCCCCAGTGGCTCTGGAGTTTCCATGTTAACCTTATGAGTACTAATATTTAAATGGAATTAAAGAATCTTAACAGCTGGTTCATCTAAACAATTTGATTCTGTGATGTTCAATAGCATTAAAAAGTTAATAGGGTTTACCAACAGGGTGCAGCACTATTATTTTTTTAACTTATGACAACAGCAAATTTGCAACCAAAAGGTGAGTGAGCACAGCAAACGAGCTTCAACCTAAAGGTGAGTGAGCTTAGCGAACGATCTTCAACCAGGACGTGATTGAGCCATGCGAACGAGTTCATCTTGAAAATGAACGAGCATTTGACATAAAACCACTTTAGTACAGGACGACGTCTGTCGGGCCAGCTAGTTACTGATAAAAAGTAGTGGCATGTTCTAGAATCTGAACTCACAACATCGCTGCCTTGGGCCTGAAGTCTGTGACTGCCGACTGATTCACTGACTCCCATTAGTTCCCATAATTCGCTGACTACTAATATTACTTGAATTTATGGTTTTATTGATGCGATAGTAATTTTTTAGATGTACACAGTGATATTAAAAATGTAGCTAAGCCTAGACCTTTGTTTCCTTTTCAGTGAGATGTGTACATGGGACTTAGTGGACGGAAAGTGTCGGGAGGTAGTGAAACTTCCTTACGTACACACCAGTATGCAGGTTGGTGTTGATATCTGTTACTGTTATCCAGTTTTCTTACTTATTACAATGTTGAATGCCATAATATATTACAAAGAATTAAACAGTGCAGATAGAATAAATAAGCAGAAAATCATTTCTGCGAGCCTGAAAACATTTGACCACATGGCCTATGGGCCATAGGTTGGATACCTGTCCTCTTACCGATGACCGATGTATGTCCAATCTTGTCTATATGTTGTCTATATCTATTGAGATGGGGACGCGCCACTAGGTACTTATTTTAACCCAAAAATATGAATGAAGGATGAGTGTAGAATGGTGTGAGATGATCTGTTTAGCTTTGTTTCTGACTAAAGACGGTGACACACTATCGATCTTTTCCCTCGAACAAGACCCCGAACCGAGCAGGGAGAAGGGAGAAGGGAGGTCGAAGGGAGCATGTTCGATAGTGTGTCACGGGTCCGTACACCGATCCAGACGGCGAACCAGACATCAGGCCGAGCAGGGAGACGAGCGCTCTGGAGCCGGTTTTTTGGAGAAAGATCAAAGAAAAGATCGGTCCGATGTACGGAGTGATGTACGATAGTGTGTCACGGTATATTTTTGCCCGTACATCGTCGCGAGCGCCGCACCGAGCGGCCGCCTGCGCTAGCGTTGATAGTTCTAATTTAATATGGCAATTAAACTCTTTAATTGCTAAAATAAATAAATGTTGAGTAATATTTTACCGTTACTATTATGGGCATTTATTTTGTAATTTTGTTGTGTGTCTGGTCAAGGTTGAAAATGTTTTTTACAAGTTGAAACCGTTAAATCAATGATACCAATGATGTTTAACTTGAATTAAGTAATTGATGTTATACTTTAATTCTTTCAAAATTAATATAAACATAAATATTATTAAAGGCAATCAAAATTATTCATTCTGTAACATGTTATTTTATGTTTTATTACTGTTTTATTATTACTGCCTACGCGCTCTCACTCACACCACGCTCTCCATCTCTCTCCAAACTCCCTTTGGTCGCGCTCGTAGAACTTGTTGGGTCTTGGTCTTGTTCGGGGGAAATGTTCGGATTGAAAATTGCAGATTTTTTACCTCCCTTCTCCCATCTCCCTGCTCGGTTCGGGGTCTTGTTCGGGGGAAAAGATCGATAGTGTGTCACCGCCTTAAGATCAGCTGTTTCATTAGCCAGGATCATTTATTTATTTATCAAAAAGATATTGACTTTTCTCGAGACGAATTTGAGACCTTTTGTTTGTTAGGCGAGCACTTTAGCCACTCAGCTAGACAGTCAAAAATATTTAAAATACATAAGGCCTACCTATAGGTTAATTGATTTAAAAAAAAATGCCAAAACATTATGAAAATAATAATGATTAAAACCTCTGCTGCAAACCTGCACACCAAGAGAATTTCAATTTTCCTGATTGGATTTTCACTTGAATATGTTTGAATGATGAATAAGTCAAATATGTAATACTTATTCCTTAATTAAATAACTTTTTTTAAAGTTACAAAGATTTTCACTTTATTTTTGATTTAAGAAGTACTGTAGGCCTACTTATAGTCAGGTTGGGTAGCAGGAAAATATTTCAGTTCTGGCAGACAGGCTGCAATTTTAGGTGGTTATAGTATACAAGTTTCTGAACCTAAAACCGCCCGGACCTCAATTTTTAAGGACCTCGGTCGTCCGTAATGACGTCATCAAAATGGCGGCCGTAAGAGGATGTTGAGTCCCCATGAATTGGCTATAACGACCGAATGCCTGAACCGATTTTCATGAAATTTGGCACACAAGTGCTTGAATACATTATCTCGGCCTGGGTTTAAAATGGTCAAGTTTCATCAAGTTATTTCAAAATGGCGTCCATTCAAAACTAAAAAATTATGAGGAAAATAATTGTGAATTGTTTTATACAGGGTGAGTGTTAAATGAGTTCCCCTCCCTACTTTTTTATACATTTCTTAAGATATCAACTCCGAACCCACATCAGATAATTGTAGAGTAGCGATTACTTCATTTCGACTAGTTTTTATTTTATCCGTTTTTTGTCATCAAGCTTTCTTGATAAAATGTAACAATTATTTTGATTTTAAAATGTCAATATTTCAAAAACCAAACATGACAATGTAAAACGGATTGCGGCATTGAATTCAACACAAAAAAGTAGTTCAAAATGATGGGTCACAACACCCCCTTCATATTTAAAATAATTTATCACATTTCAAAATGGCGGATCCAAGATGGCGGCTGAAAAAATACATCCGTCATAACCGAGTGAAAATAGGTCAACAATGAATGGTGGTGTCCACTTATCTTTATCTAGCACATTTTGAGATTATGGCCTTAGTTTGTAAATGCACAATGTTATAATGGACTAAAAATAAAGTTATAAAAAGTTCTCATAACTTTAGAATGGATCAAAATTTTTTTAAACGGATTGCAACATCGTATTCAGCGTAAAGGTTTTGTTTGAAACGGTGGGTCACAACCCTATCTTTACATTTGAAAAAATATTTTTGTATCCAAAATGGCGAATCCAAGATGGCGGCCAAAAATGTAAACCCAGTCAAAATGAAGTACTTGCTACTCTACAATGATCTGACATGGTTTAAAGTTGATATCTTAAGAAATGTATAAAAAAGTAGGGGGGGAACTCTTTTAAAACTCACCCTGTATAAAACAATTCACAATTATTTTCCTCATAATTTTTTTAGTTTTGAATAGCCGCCATTTTGAAATGACTTGATGAAACTTGACCATTTTCAACCCAGGCCGAGATAATGTATTCAAGCACTTGTGTGCCAAATTTCATGAAAATCGGTTCAGGCATTCGGTCGTTATAGCCAATTCATGGGGACCCAGCATCCTCTTACGGCCGTCATTTTGATGACGTCATTACGGACGACCGAGGTCCTTAAAAATTGGGGTCTGGGCGGTTTTAGGTTCAGAAACTTGTATACTATGACCACGTAAAATTGCAGCCTGTCTGCCAGAACTGAAATATTCTGCCACTATATGCAGCTTTACTACTCCACTATTATGTTTGCTGCAACAGAGAAGATACTAAAGTTGGTGTTTAGTGAAAAGTTAATAGCTTAGTATAAAATAAATACATTTGCCAAGTTTAATCAAAATATATCCGTAAACAAGTAAACCACAGGTAACAGTACAACACTTAATTTATCCGCTTTAAAAATACCTAACATGGGAATTTGAATTTACAGGTTTTTTTTTTTTTATTTTCTCTGTGACCATTAATTGTACAACCCTCCAATATACTAAATTATTGGTTTCTTGGGCTCTACAACATAGTTTGGTAAAAACTACAAAATTTTATATTTTGATGGTAAAAAATGGGAAAATCTATTTTTTACCTCGTAAACCCTTCATAAAACCCCTGCTCCTGTAGTCCAATCATTCTAGTTTGTGAACTCGTTTTAATAAACACTAGCAGAGTACCTGTCCTTCGTACGGGATTGGCATATAAGTATAAAATGCTTATTGCAGTTATACTCAAGCATTGCGTTTGCAATGGGGGAGGACACAATTTGATCAAATTTGCTTCTTTAAATTTACGGTATACTATAGTATTATATATCTATCATAGCCATAATATTCTACCACTTCACCTAAACAATAGAGAAAAATAAATTGTTAAAGATTCGCAAAATATCACATATGATTCATGAAATTAAAAACATAAAAGTAACTAACTGTAAACGATCCTACTTTGACAGTTCTCATTGCATATCATAGTTTTTTTTGTTGCTTATTTCAAATTAACTGTTTCCATAAATGCAAAAAAAGTAATAATGCTGCACCCTGTTGGTAAATCTTAATGTTAATGAACTTTTAATGTTTTTGTATACCATAGAACCAACTTTTTAAGTTGAAACAGCTGACTTAATTCTTTTATTCCCTTTAAATATGAATACTCATAAGGTTAACATGGGGAACTACAGAGCCACTGGGGGGGGGGGGGGGGGGGAGCCCGAGAGGATTTTTGAGATAAGAATATGCCTATATGTTAATCAGGAATTTGAGCTATCATTATGCAAAATTTCAGCCCAATCCGTCCAGTAGTTAATGCGTGATTGAACTTCAAACAAACAAACAAACACACAAACTTTCACATTTATAATATTAGTAAGATAAGGTTACAGATTTGTACAAAATTTCATTAAAATTGGATGGTTTTTACTCAAATTATCGTGCTAACGTATACATAAATATAATAAAAGTATATGCATTTTAATGGATGGTGTTTTTGGCCTCTGGGTACATCAAAACGAAAAAGTAAATTGGTCTCGGGCCCAGTCTTACCATGAGATCTGCGGTAAGTTTAATAGATTTTATTTCCTATTTGGGAAATTTGCTTAAAAGATAGACTGTGTTAATGAATTGCTTTTTAAACAACACATCGAAGGTGAGTAGTGCACTTGGTGTTTTTAATAGGGACAAATAATTTGGGGAAACTAAAACAGTAGCTGCAATATTTTTGAAAAAATGTTTGAGCAGCTAGCTAGACTATGGCCTACCTGAACTTTTTATTTAAGGTGAACTAAACTACTATCCCCCTTTTTATAAAAATCACAAACCTGGACTAAAGCCTTTCCTGTTTTTATGTTTCTGCCAGAGTGGACTCTATCCCATTCATGTAAGCTGATATTTCAACAAATCTCCTTGAAACTTACTCCCTTGTTCCTATGTAACATCATAAAAATCACAATTGTTTAGATGCGAAGTTGTATTATTTAGTGCTTTGACTGTTTTGTTTCTTCAGGCGTACTTGATGAATGGAAATGAAGACGTGAAGCTGTTTTGTAACGGCTACTACGCCGAGATCCTAGTCATGGACCCCTTCAGTCTAGAAGTAATCTTCTCTCTGTCGTCTAAAGTCAGTCCTGACTGGATCAGTGCTCTTCACGTGCTTCGGCCTATCAAGCGCAAAGGTAATTCTACAGTTGGACAATTGATAGTTTGATTATACACTTGGTAATCAAATGATGGAGTCTGTAGGATAAAAGAGTTTCATTTGTGTAGTGACTGGCTGTTGCTGGTCCTATATATTCTTATATAGGGTCTTTTATATTTTTTACTGCATGTAATACAGTAGAGCATAGACATTGTGTAAAATAATTTGACCTTAAATTGTTGGACTATCGCGAGTAAAAATTTAAATTCATTTGTGCCTTACAAATTTAAGTCAGCTGTTTTTATAGCTTTTGAACTAATTAGATCCAGAATACGGTAGAAAACTTGCATTCATTATGTTAGGTGACTTGACATGGATGGCCTCCAAGGATAGGCCTTTTAAAAAAATCCAAATCTATATTATACACTTTGCTTCAGGTGGTTTCCCAAACGCATGATGTCCTCTTTCTTAACGTCTTGTCATTTCTTTCATAGTCATTTAACTACTCCTCTCTTTCCAACAATGTCTATCTCAAGCAATTTTCTTACAACAGAGTAAAATTGATTAAAAGTATTAAAACCAAGAGTATTTCTTTGGTTATTAAAATCCTTACATATTTGATTAAAATTTGAAATTAAACAGCATTAACCATTTTAAGAGTAATATAACATGTCCGCAGATGATGTGGTGCTTGCCCTCACGACCACAGGAACTGTGAAAGTTTGGACTCTCAGCGGAAACGAGACTAAGTTCTCAGAACCACTTTTTGAGGACGAGAGTAAACAAATCAAATGTCTCAACGCAATTACTCTGACTTGCTGCAGCCAGAACCAACGGACTGTACTCATCGTCTGCTCCAAGTACTGGCAGGTCAGTGTGTAGAGATACTTGGTTTCAAGTTCATTTTTGGTAAAGTTTGATGGATCATTGCGGACATTTTCCATTACGATTGGTATCAAACAGTTTTGACAACATTTCTAGTATGTAGAGTCTGATCTCTTCAGATGATTTCACTGCATGGTCTTTTAATAAATGGTCTTGGATTAAGAAATAGGTGATCTTAGTAAATATTGATGCTACCTGTATAATCCACTCTATTTGGCTTTTAGTTTATGATCCTTTTTAAAGAAATAGCTTTTCCTAGTCTGTAGTAGCCAAGCTTACTCCATTGCACACCTACCCTTCATATTCATATTCAGTTATCTATTCATATTCAGTAATCTAAACCTAATTGAGTACCTACTTGGAGCTTGGAGCTCCATTTTGTGTACGGTAACTGTCTTGTAAGTTTTGCGTTGAAGGTCTATTGCTTTGTTTTTGGCGATGTAGGCTAACAATAATTTGTTGTAGACTGTAAAAAGCGTTTATGAGCTCTCAAAGTTGGTTATTTGTTTTTTATATTATTAAATTATCTTTTAGTGATGTTTATTTATGTCTTTTACTCCTTCGTAGTTTGCTAAAGAATTTAAAATTTGTTACAGTTAACAGTCCAAAACCAGAACTTCTTACTGACAACCTGTTGTTAGATAGGATCATTGTTGACTTGATAATCCTATTTGACACAGTCACAAACCTGATCCTGCGATGAATCAGTCATTGACCTATATCTTTTCAATATTGGACTTTTATTCCGTATACATACACAAAGTACGTAGCTGTGTGCGTGAGTGAGTAGTTTTCTCTGTTTGCAGATTTACGATGCAGGTGACTTCTCCGTTCTGTGCTCCGTCATCTCTCCACGAGGTGAGCGCTGGCTGGGCGGACAGTTCCTGTCTCCAGACAGAGTGCTGGTGTGGACGGACGACGGGAGAGCATATCTGTATAAACTGCCTGCCAAGTAAGCTCCTCTGCATTCAATAAAGGATAGAAAAGGAAAAATATAACAGAAAAAATAAAAATAACACAATTATGTTATTGTGGTTTTTGAGGTCAAATTATAGGTAGTTTACTCAAGAAAATATTATATACCGTTACTGTACCTACATTGATTTTAGAACGCAGTTGTCAGTTGATAATCCAATTCTTGATAGACTGATAAACTCTTTATGTAAACACTGCACTTAATATGTCCATACAGTTCAATTGAATTTAAGGTCATTTTTAATCTCAATAAAACTTTTTTGTAAAATAATGCCTCAAATCATTAACTTAAATATCTATTGGTGAACAGATACTTTACACTGCATTATGAGTGGATTTTTTCTTAAATTCAGGTGCATTCAGTTGTAGGGTGTTTGCTGTAATTTAAAATTTTTGTTTATCCGACACGACACCCTTCTAGTCTTTGATGCATTATTGAGTGTCATCTGTATTTAAAGTCAAAGTAAATTCTTAAAATGTTAGAGAGTGTATATGTTTTAATGAATGTCATATATTTAACATGACTTTATCAACTAAGACTAAAATTATGTTAAAATAAAAATATGAAAAGATTAAAGCCTAACTGTTTACTTACAGTGACTAAAGTCTCATGATTAATTTAGATTAAAGAAAAAAAATTATGAAATAATACAAATCTTCTATGAGAAGATTAAAAAAATTAATCTATTGGTTGACAGTTCAAACATGAAAAATACAAGAAAATACTAGAAGAGAGGCAAATCCTCGAGCTTTCTCTCTTTCCGTCCTTTTTAACCAAATCCAGTAAAGCTTACTATTTCTCTAATTTAATATCCAAGTTATTTATTCCACGTTCTTTATTAGAAATCAACACATTTAAAATGTCTTTCTCAACATAATGTTTCTACAAAGTAATATTTGTTATGTTGAAGTTAAATCATCCAAATTGTACTACACAATCATCAATCTATATGCTGTTGTATAGTTGAATTGTGGATATTTATAGTCATGCACTGTGTATGCGATACTCCCTGGTGTGGATTAACGTCCACACTAGTGAGTACTACGACTATCCGCAGTTCTATCCTGATGATTAGACCAATTGGTTAATACCAAGGCAAAAATGTGGTTCGGATTCCACTATAAACTGTAGGTCCCGTAGTTGCCATTAATTATGGGCTATTAATTAATAGCTGTGTCTAAGGAATATGTCGGCCTTGTCACTAACAAGACTACAAGATCGCGCCACTTTTCCTACACTCATCTTCTGTCATACTTGGCTTAAAATACCTACTTTGTATGGTCGCCATTTCAATGAAAAGAAATAAAAGTATTTAACTAAAGAATATATTTCTTCAAAGTATATCTGAACGCAATGAATTACCATAAGGTCACACGGTATGTAAGCTCATAAAAAACATGAGAGCATTTTAGTAGGATTTTTTAAAAGTTTTTTCATAATTTATCATTAGGCGTAGTTTATTTTAATTGTCTTACTTATATTCTTAATATTGCGAAAGCCGCTGAAGGGAGCCTCTCGGGATGAAGATGTTGACGTCATTGTTTCTCGTGACTTGCGTAATCAAATTTGTCTGCTTCTTTCTTTGCTAGCATGTGATGTACAGCCATCGGTGATCGTGGCGTAGTGGATAGAGTACTCGGCTGATGTGCAAGACGTATTTAGATTGAATCCCATCGGTCACACTTAACTTTTTGCCAAAGATTTCGCTTAGAATGCTATTTCTTCTTAGCTTTACATCTTTTGTTAGAATTTGAGGCATTTATAATTTTTTTATGAACAGAATTTAACCTTCATTTGATTTTTTCATAATCAGCAAGTTTGGTTAGTTAGGTTAGGTTATGACAGTAACTGCCGGTGTGATGACCTCATTGTTTCATCTTGCTTCATCCCGAGAGGCTCCCTTCAGCCGCTCCAAACAGCTGACATAAAGAAATGTCTTAGTGATTGATTATTCATTACATAACCAGCCTGTGGTTTGGATAGTTGCATGAAGTCAATTGTTTACCAAGTTCAATTTGTTTACTCATTTAATCTAACTCTAACTTAGGACTTAGAGCTTTATTTTATGTAACAATTTAGTTGGTTTTAGAGATTGATTCATGTTTGGGGTATGTAGCAAATGTTTGTTGCCAAGTCTCTAAGAAATATTTGTGAGCACTCCATTACTACAATATTTGTTTGGTGATTTTTTGTGTGTCTTTTTACTCCATTGGTATTTTATACAATTGTGCAATGGCATCATTAATTACTAGCCTATCTCAATCACTACTAACAGCTCAATCCAGAATCAACATAAATCTGGAAAACTTCTATCTGTACTCAATAAGATAGGCCAACACTAAACTAACTTGAAATAAAAAGTCTAACTCCTCCATTCAAGCAATTCAGTCCTAGTAATAAACTCTACATATTTAAGAATTGTATAAAATCAATGATTATTCACATGTTCAAACAGTCAGCGTATTTGTTGATTAGTTGCATGCTTAGAGGCTGCTTGTTTAGTTATTTCTTCATGTATTAATTTCTGTAGTATGTAGCCTAGTTTAAAATACTAACCAATACTATACAAAATAGTTAGTTGTTTGTATATTGGAACTACTGTTTGATGGATATAAAATTTAAATTTGACTACTACAAGTCAAACAGGTATTTTTTTGTGATTGTAAATGTTAAATGCTTGTTTCATAATACATGGCTACTCTTTAATCCATATTCTACACAATATTATCTTACTACAATATTCATATTTTATGTCAAAGAATTATTTCCGCACTAAAACCTAGTCCTTTTTAATAATGTAACCCGCGTTTATCCAGTCTAATCAATCGCTGCCAAAACTGTGTAGTGTACAAGTACAGTGATGCATTCCTAACTTAGCTGTATACAATTTGTGTAAACTGCTATCAAAAACGGTTGTCTAGATTAAGCAAAGTCTAATTAATGAGGTCTAAATTAATGTGAGATGAAAGAATGTTTTTTTTATTTCACTACCGCCAGAAGTAGTATGGATTCATCTTAGCCAAAATCTGCAAAACTTTGTTTCATGTTCACTTTTCCGTACAACTCTTAACTTCCACTACCAGAGCTAAACATGTTAAATTACAAAAGTAAGAATGCTATCAGCTCAGTATGAAACATTTTATGTTTTTAGAATCAACATAATCCAGCTAAACACATTGTGGTGACTGCATTGAAAGAAAGTGAATGGAAAACAAAGTTTAGCCAATTTCATTTCTCATGCTTTTTTCTGTCTTTAACAGCAATCCCCGAGGCAAATCCAGCAGATCTGGGTACGATATTTATCTGTGTTGTGATGTCCTTTGTACTATGTAATATTCAAAACAGCGCAATACTACAGAAAATGTTATACCAAGTAAAAAAATATTCTTTAGTGTAAGGGATTACTTTGGAAATTTTCAATTTAAACCGCATATAAATGAATAGAATTGATTTTAGGAGCTAGTGAAGAGTAAGGAATCTTAGTACCATTTTCTTTAAGCGTGGTTAGTTAAATTAAAAAAAGAAGTGAAGCTAAATTACTACTGAAATTCTTAGTGAAGCTAAGATAAGTGGTTCGTTTATCATTAGACTACAAAGTTGATCAGTTGATTTAAATGTTTGGTCTCAAAGCTTATGGATTTATTGAAATATTAGGCTACAAAGTCAAATGGTTGATTCATGCCGTGTTATATGGGCCTGGATTAGTTGTTAGTACTCACCAAATTTTTCTTTGACTTAGTCAATAATGACAAAATATTGTAGGGGAGAGAAGGATAATTTTGTAGCTGTTCATATAAACTACATACTTAACTTGACATTTTTCTTTATTGTGTTACTTTGATCATAAAACATTTCATTCGGGCTGATTAAAATATTTTAAATCATAGTTTCAGTCTAATTAGGTAAGTCTAAATATAATCTGAATCATAATCCTTCTTTGGTTAAAGATTCAAAACTATTACATCTTACTTGTGAAATATTATTCCTACAGTCGGGGATCCCTTAATTTGACAATAATCTCAGCTACTTTCATCCTTATTTTTATGGCATCAGAGTGAAGGTTTGTATGCATGTTGATCACATTTTGGCTGAGTGTGCTTCTAGTGAGCACCAAAATCATTCATCTCGCACTTTTTTGCACTATTGATAGTTTTACGCTTGCTAATTGAAATTGTTTGGCTTTCAATACTCAACATATTCACAATACGTGGGTTGATCATTTTCATCGACATTTAAAAAACCGATGGGGTTTTTATATTTGTACTATTTACATTTGAATAGCATATAAATTTGAAACATTTTTTTTTAAATCTCAGGAATGAAATATAAGATGTAATGTGAATACAAAAATACCTACTGGTAAAAATTAAATTGGACCAGTATGTCAAAACTAAAATTGCAAACAAAAATGTTGTTAATTTAATCACAAATCAAAATAATTCTTAAATGATTATTTTACTAATTAAAACATAATGTTATCTGCTATTAAATCACAATATGGATAATATCAATGATGTTTAAAGCAATGTGTTGTAAGTTTCAAGTTTTTTTTTTTAGCAAGTATTTTCCAAACATTACAATTTAATTGCCTCCATCAAATATCAAAGCTAGTTCGTTCTGCTTAGACAGTTATCCTACTATTTATAGATTATATGCCTACATTTTTACAAGACTGAATCTAGCTAAGTTTTGGAATTTGCTTATAATTTACCATAAAATAATTAAACACACAAATACACAATTGGCTACATATAAATATCTAAAGTATTTTTCTGTTAGTTTAAATAGTTACAATAATGTTTGTTCATGAGCAGCAGTATAGCGGACAACATAGAGTTCCATAAGCAATCCGACATCAATGATTCTCCTTTCCTCTACTGTCTCCTCTCACCTTCATTTGAAAAGGTAAACTAATATATAACACTATTCTGCTTTATAAGATGTAAGATACTGTCGGACACCTTGGCACTAGATCCTTAGCCTGATTAAAAATGTCTGTACCATCAGAAGTTAATACAACAATTAATTTATATGATGGGACATTTAAGACTAAAGTGTCACAAAATACCACTTCCTCTAATTTTTTTAGTACATTTTTTCAAATGCTGAGTTGTTTGTATCGAAACAATCTTAGTTAGTTTGATGGGCTCAGAATAGTGTTTTTGTATATGTAACTGAAAATACTGTTAAAAGTTTGACTGGAATATTCAGCATTACCTAATGAATAATGATCCACTTTTTAAGCAATTGTGTCCTTTTAATAGGAATTGGTTAAATCTTCTGGATGTTAGCTGGTCCCCATATAGCACTCAAAATCCCATGTTAGCTGTAGTTAGTTGCTGGAATAGGCCATGACATTTTGTTTTAAATTAAACCTTTTGCTTGCTATATATAAATGCGTCCCCATCTTAATGGGTTATAATAATATCCGATTAGTAATAATAAGCAATAATCAGCATATTCTTACGTTCCATAATTTGTTATAACAAACGGGTATTCTTCTTCGCTGCTTGAATCTGAACAAAAATAATGGGTTTTCTGAGCTTAAAATTGGAAATGCAAGAAAAAATTTAACATTTTGAATGTTGCGGTTTCTTAAAGTTGTACGGCTTAAATTTAAAATCTAAAGCCAGTTTGTATATCACACCACCTAGGTTTAATAATGTAAGTTTTAAAATCATTCAGGGATACATATCTTACATCCTCACATAGAACTCTTTTAACATCTGTTACCCAACATGTCCGCTTGTTTGCAGACGTTGTCGTGTCCGCCTGCCATGTGCTACCTGGAGTCAGGTCAGCATGGCAAGTTACTGGTCCGAGGTGATTCTGAAGGTCATGTCATGGTGTGGCAGGTACCTGATGTCTCTGAGCCGCAACTGGCTCAGATAAGACAACTGGCTGCTGACAAGCCAACAGGTAACACTGTCAACCTGTTGAATCTAATTATTTTGTTAAAGCGATTTCATAAGAAATTTGGACTCTTATTGATGCTAAAATGTCCTACCTGAATATAACTGAGTAGTTAAATGGAACGTGCTCACCTGGTAATCAGATGTTATTGGTTAGATACTGAGAAAAGTCTGTAGCTTTTATATGGTTTTAAACAGGTTTAAGTTGTCCTTGATTATTAGGATCTCCAAATTTCTGTCTTAATATAGTCAGCTGCTTCAGTTGTATTAATATTATTTACATTTGTTATTATGATTTTTGTGTTAATTATAATTGTTGTGAATAAAAGACAACTGCATAAAAAATATTCTTTTAATTAACACTGACACAACAGTGTTTTGGCGACGAGATTAAACATTATTGTATTTCAATCAGTTAGTTTCAAAAATGGTACACCCCTACTAAGTCATGGGCACAACCACCACCTACCAATGTCATTACACAACCATCATCACCTGTACCTAGAGGTGAAATAGTTATGACTGAAAATCATAATTATTCAAGTCCACATAATGTAGCTGACTCAATCTCTCATTGAAACACTACAATAGTCTACCACCATTGATCCCCGTTATCTACAAGTCACTCGACCTCTACAAACCCTGATTCATCAAGGCAGACCAGTTCCCGGAGATCCAACTGGAATAAAAGAAACATTCCGTTCGACTTAAAGATTATGTCTCCTAGTCAAACCTTCAAGCGTGGGAGATTGTAGGATTTCCATATTTCTGTCTTAATATAGTCAGTTGCTTCAGTTATAATTATGTTTTTAGGAAAAGCATTTAGCTTGGATTAAATAAATATATAGGATGGAGAGGACACAGCTAACTCACCTGATGAAAGGTTGCAGACGAGTCAAAGAACACATAAAACACACACATAATAATACTTGATATTTTGCCTCTTTCAGAGGCTTCTTCAGAAGTAGGCCTAGATGGCAGTTACAAGAACAACAGTTTTGATAAATAAATCCTATATATTTATTCAGTTATAATTAATATTATTAACATTTGTTGTTATGATTTTTGTGTTAATTCTAATTGTGAATAAAAGACAACTAGATGAAAAATGTTCTTTTATTTAACACTGAAAGGACTAAATTGTTCTTGATTATTGGGATTTCATTATAGATTTTGGCTAAAGAAACAGCCTATTTTAGTCAGCAAAGCATATCATACCATCATATAATTCATTAAACTTAACTTTTCTTCCCCTTCAAATACGGAAATCAAGATATCAAGTACCGGTATGGATCTAATCTGAATGTGAATGTGATCCATCCCGGCACAATAAATACCAGGAAACATATCTTATTTTATAACTTAAACTATTCTCAGTTGAAAATGAAGTTAGGATAGAGACATATTTTAATTGTTGTGTGTAGTTTTTGTGTTTTTATTATTTTTTTTTAGTTTTTGTGCCAGGATTCCCACGCAGGTATCTCATCATACTGGTATCTCAACCACAATCCTTAACAATTAGGTACCTTACGTTTTGTCTTTATATTTAGTCAAATAGGACGCTCGTTTGGTCATGTTAACACCAATTAATTCACTATCAATGTCTTAAGACTACATTTAGAGAAGTGTGACGTTTTGTAGGGAACAACATGTTAAACACATTGATAAAAAATTAGTGGTTTGTTAAAGGTACTTAGGGTTAGAGACTAGAGAACCTACATAGTCCAAAAAAATTGAATCGGGAGTGAATAAGAATAAGAATATTTTATTTCCATTGATCTGTTTGTACAGAAATAGGACAAGTCAATTTGTTATACAATGTTATACAAATGTAACATATAGCAAATAAAAATAAAACAAGACATTAAATGTATTAAAAAGAAATACAAACTTGTGTATTAAAAAACTCCTCATGTTTATAAAAGGGATTTTCTACCAGCCAGGTGTACAATACAGATTTAAACCGGTTTAAACTAACCTCTCTTGCATTCTCAGGCAGCTTATTAAAAAAGTAAATGCAATTTAGTTTAAAAGAAGTTTTAGTTTTTGTAAGCCTATGTGGTACTATATCCAAATTCCCCCTCCCCCTGGTATTATGATTATGAATATTTTGCCTAGTACGAAACATATTTAAGTTTGTTTGAGCATAAACCAGAACTTGAAAGATGTATGGATTGAATACTGTAGGAATTTTGAACTCTACAAAAAGTTGCTTACAGTGTGCTACGTGATCGACTCCTGCCATATTACGAATAGTTTTTTTTTGAAGCAATAGGATGTCATTAACATGTGGTGAGTGACCCCATGCAAGCAATCCATATATTACATGTGCCTGAAAGAGGCCAAAGTATGCTAGTCTCAAATAATCAGGACTAACAAAACTTTTGAGTTTCCAAAGCAGGCAAGTCACTCTTGAAATTTTGCTACAAACAGATTTGATGTGATCAGACCAGTTTAATTTTGAGTCAATATGTATTCCTAAAAGCTTGACCGATTCCATATTGACTTCTCTTTTTAAACTCAATGTTATATATTGTGTTTTTTTCCAAATTACAAGATAGGCTAGTTTATTTGTCGAGAACCAATCATAAGCCATTGTCTCTGCTTGTCGGGACATTTCTTGTAAATAAATCAAGTTTTCATGATTGGAAAGTAATGTTGTATCATTAGCATAAATAATGGAATAGGTATTTAAGTTTTTGGGCAAATCATTAATATAAACTGCAAAGAAAAAGGGACCAAGAATTGATCCTTGTGGGACTCCAGATACCACTTCAATCATCTTGGAACAATTATTTCTAACGGAAACATATTGTAATCTCTTTGAGAGGTATGACTCAATCAGTTTCAAGGAGCTTTGCGCCACACCGTAAAACTGAAGTTTTTTTAGGAGAATATCAAATGGGACACTGTCAAATGCTTTACTGAGGTCACACAGCACTAGAGAAACAGATTTGTTCGCCTCAAAAGCATCTAAAGAATAATCTACTAAATTTATTATTGCTGATGTTGTTGATTTATTTTTACGAAAGCCATGTTGACAGTTTGTAATTATATTATGTGATTCAAAAAAGTAATTGATTCATATATTTGTGATAAAATTGGAACAATTGAAACTGGGCGGTAATTTTGAACCATATTTTTGTCACCCTTCTTAAATATTGGTGTGACTTTTGAAACCTTAAGTGATTGAGCAAAATAACCTTCCTGCATGCAGTTATTTAAGATAAAAGCAAGAGGTTTACTTATAAATTCAATTGTTTGTTTGATTATATGATTTGATAACCAATAAAAATCCATATCCTTAGAGTTTGAAAATTTAGACACAACTTTTATAATGTCCACCGGTGAGACTTTTTGCCACATGAATGAATCTTGATAGATTGATTTATCTCCCAAAAAGTGTTCCATACTAAAAGGTGTAGTAGGAATTCCGTCACTTAACTCTTTTATTGAGTTTTGAAAATATGTATTAAATTCATCTGGATCCAGGCTGACATCCGGGGTTAAAGAGGGGGAATTTTCGTCTCTAATTACCTTCCAAGCGGCTCTGCACTTGTTTGGGGCATTGTTAATATATTTTTCAACTGCCAATCTTTTTGCTCCTGCCAATTCTTTTCTGTACCTTCTTTTAATTTGAATATATGCATTGTAAGCTGCCTGAGATTGTTCTGATCTTATTGAAAGAAGATTCTTATAAATATAAAATAACAGTAACATTTAATTTCTTGTCTTTTCTAATTCCGGTGGTTACCAGTTGATTAATTTATTGGTTTTTATATTTTGTTTGTTTTTTTCTTTTATTAATGGTGAACAAGAATGCCACAAATCTATACATCTTTTAAAAAATTCGTCAAATAGGTTTTCAACATTTATTTTATTTTGTTTAAAATCACCAATCGTATCCCAGTTTTCTTGTTTTAGGTAAGTTATAAATAAATCAATATTTTCGTCATTTTGTTTTCTAAAATACAAATCACTGGAACACACCTTGTTTTCATTTCTTTGTGGATACTTAGTTGTACATGTACACATTAAAAAAAATAGAGGAATATGGTCAGCAAAATAGCTATCCCCAAGTGTAGTCTGATATAAATTCTTATTGAAATTTACAATAATGTTATCTATGCAGGAATTAATACGTGTGGGTTGTCTATTTGTTAAAAAAAGGTCAAGTGATCTCAAAATATTACTAAATCTAGTGAAACTGCTATTTAAGTCATTATTATTTTTCCCCATTTCAATGTTAAAATCACCCGCAATAATTATTAAGGGGTTCTTAAGTAATAGTTTTTTAATACAACGCTCAAAACAGTCAAACAAATTATTCACATCTCCACTTGGAGCTCTATAAATACTAACAATCAAAACGTTTTCATCCGTAAGTTTTATGTAGCAAATTTCAAAATCAGACTCAATATAAAATTCAGTAACATCAATAACGGAAAAATTCAGACAATTTTTAATATAAACACCCACTCCGCCATTAAGTTTAGATTCCCTACATATAACACTGGCTGGAACAAAATCTTTAGGAACAAATAAATTAATCTGATCACCTTTCAGCCAGTGTTCACACAAGCAAATTACATTCAAATCTTTTTCTTTACATAAATATTCTAACTGTAAAATTTTATTTCTTAAACAACATACGTTGACTTGAATTAATCTAAAAAAGATTTTGACATTTCTTTACCTTTTTCCATTACACTTTCACTTTCCTTCTTATCATCACAGGTTACACTGCACTTGGGAGAACTTTCTGCTAATAGTGTAGAGGTGCTGGTGCTGATGGTGGATGAGGGTAGTTGCTGGTAGTTGGTAGTGTCGACTGGTGGGGAGCTCAAAGATGTAGTTGGCTGCTGCTGAGATGGTTGCTGGATATTAGTGTCGACTGCTGTGGCTCTCATTGGAGTTGGCTGCTGATGCTTTGCATTCTGCGCTGGTGATGACTGTTGGGTGTGGGGGGCAGCAGTCCATTTAACCACAGAGTGTTCCAGGGCTCTCACAAAATCTTTGTGAGAAAATCCATTCCTCAGAATTCGGATCGATTTTTTGAAATAAGAGACAATGATTATTGTAGCCTCAGTTGCCTGCTGGAATTCCACTAATTTCTGTATAAAATGATCCACTTCAATTAGGTCACGGACACAACCCATTGGTGAGTACACCAAAGTCTTAAGCCCACTAGTTTTAAAGTTTTCTGTTAGCTGTTTAAAAGCGCTGTTGTAGTCTGTCTTCGATGGCTTTCCCCAAAAGACTTCCTTTGTCACTAGACTAAAGACTGTTGCTCCCTTATTTAAGTATTGCTGCTTTGTTAGATTTTTTAAGATACAATCAGTAGAGTGTGGTCTCCTAAATTTATTTCTAAAGATCACGGCAACACCTGCAGACATGTGCTTCGGATCTCCAAAATCTGCTGAGATAGTGTGTGCAAACCCCACTGAACTATCACTCCTCATTTCATCAATCATTGTTTTCATGTGTTCTTCAACAATATTAATTTTCCCATTGTCAAACATCATAGAAGATTTTACCCGTGAAGCTCTATTGGACTTTGCTCTCACCAGCTTCAAGAACATGTCAGCTACCCTTACCTTACCCCTGGCATTAAAGTGCAATCCATGTGGTGTGAAAAGGTGGTGGGGAAGAGAGTGCAGCGGCAGTAGTGAAACCTTAGGGTGCTGGGCAACAATATCTTCTAATTTCCTGTTAATTTCTCCAATTTTTAGGTCCAGTCCCATCTTGTCATATCTCCATGGTAAAGTTGCAATAACCAGGTTAGTGTGGTTAGTGATTGAAATGAGATGGTTAATTTCATTCAGAAGAGATTCAGAGTTGTGGGTCTCCATGTCGTTAGTGCCTCCAATCACCAGAAGAGCATCCTCCGCTCCTAGGTCCTTGCTTAGCTCTCCAGCCCTTTCAATGACATTGCTTAGCTTAGCACTAGATTTGACAACACTGAAGACATTAAAGCATGATCTTTGTTCTATTAGGTGTCCTAAATTTCTGCCATGGCTATCAGCCAAAATAGTGAGTTTCTGTTTATTTGCATCCTTTCTATTTTCATGTTTCTTTTGTGACTGACAATTTCTCTTATTTGGCCCATTAAGAAGGCTAGGTTGACTCTGTGCATTACTTTCCTCACTGATTTCTTCTAAGACAGCGAAAGAATTTTTACTTTCAAAACCAATTTCCTTGTTAACAGCTGTAAATTTGTAGGTCGGCCTACAAGAAGGCCTGAAGAAAGAAATTCTAAATTCTTTTAATGTGTAGACTATTGTATTAGGCACATTTAAATTTAAGTTCAACCTGTGTTTTTTAGCAATGCAGCCAATGGTAACCAACAGCATAGCAAAATCTTGGGCAGCCATGAATCCTTCTCCTTGTGGCATATTAGATCAGCTGGTAAGTTTTTCATCGTGATAAATCATTTTCTAGACAATTTATGACTATTAAAGATCAAGTTTTGGTTGTAAAAAGTTTGCAAATTTTAAGTCAATTTAAAATTCCCTTGCAATGTAGTAATATCAACACTGCATACGCTTTATATTGACTAAACACACATACAGAATTAATTTGTAAGAAAAGTAGCAAAATGCCTGATTTGAAGTGCAACTCGCAGAGAATACACCCATCATGTTAACTTTCACCTGAGCTATCCATTGTTTATTTTAGGTGAGCTTCTCTCTCCCCTAGATCTAGGCCTACCACAGAGGGGTGAACTCCTCAAACTGACCATGACAAGATTCTAACCCTTGTTTTATTTCATCTACTATCTCTGCTGTACCTACTACTGTACCTACTGCTATCTCTTGGCTTGGGAGAGAACATCTTAGTCAGCGACTTAATTGTCCACCGCACTAACAACACTGGCCAACTGTAGTACTTCTAATCTTGACTCCCAGCTTGCAGCAATTGAATTCTTCCTACTTAACGAGTAATTCTGAATAAAAAAATATGATTTACCCCTTGATTGATAAAATGTTGCAGGATTCAGCTGAAGTGCCAGGAGTAAAGTTGATGGCCAGCATCTATCTACCTCAACAGAGTAGGCTGGTGGTGGGTAGACAGGATGGATCCATCATCATAGTACCAGCTACACAGACAGTCATGTTGCAACTGCTGCATGGCAGTCATCAGCAATACGATGGCAAGTAGTTTTGCAATTTGCAGTCAGTAACCAAGCCACACTTTCTTTTCTCAAAACAACCATAAAACTTGTTTCCCTCATAAAAAATCCACATTGTCATGTAATATTCATGTTTCTAAATGATAAACTCCTTTTTAAATCCTTCTTCAGATTTGTATTGCTAACATCACCATCGATCTAACTGAGTGACGCAACAAAGGTTTAATTCTCTGAACACTTGTGGCTAAGCTGTCCAGTAGGGATGGGAAATACTGTTATACTATTTGCAACAATAGTCAGTTAATAAGAAGACAAGAGCATCTTTATTTCACTTGCTAGTTCTAACAGTTGACAACGATAAAAAGATAATATGATGTTCTCAGTAATCAATGACAAAGGTACTAAGCTATATTAATTTGTGATGTTCATTGTTAATAAATAACTTCTTGATCAGCATTGTACATGTTATTAAATTTATGGAAAGTAAATAAAGAAACGTCTTATAACACTTAAAACATAATCAAAATCGATCACCACTTACCACCTTTTTTGTATATTTACCGTCTTGTGAGTAACAGTATAAGCGTAAATAAATGTTTTAAGTGTTATAAGACGTTTCTTTATTTACTTTCCGCTAGTGATGTGTCAAAACCAAATCTCAAATCTATCAAAACTTTGGAAAAGTTTCAGTTTCGAGATTCGATAGGCGAGTTTCAAGATTCAAAAGTTTCGAAATTGGAAGTTTTGGCACAATTATTTTTGAAAATGCTGACATTTTTTGTGTCATTATTATTGTTTATAACAACTCTGTTGTTTACACACAAGCTGCTAGCAATGGAGCAAACGCATCTCAATTAATACTAATGAAACAAGTAAATTGTATTCTGAACTTAACTGCAAAAGGCATCTTAAATACTGGAACAGCTTAAAATTCAGTTTTATATCAATATTCCAATTTTTTTAAACAAAAAGTAATATTTACCACTAAATGTTCTGATTAATGTAATATTCATGTTTATTTCAATGTCAAGAGTTTCATTTTTTTATGTTAACTTTGTTGTTTATAAAAATATGTTATTTTGGGTTGTAAGTTTATCTGTCACATTTATGTTATTATGTCTGGATCAGGAGTCAAATCTCTTTCAGTTTTGATCGCTTAATCATAATAAAAATGTTATCACTATAGTACCTGTATTTTTAGCAACTTGATCAGGTAACTAAAAAGTTTTGCGTTCAGGTTTTGAGATTCGAGATTTGGGATTCGACTTTTTAAGTTTTGGTTTTGGTTTCCGAGATTCGAAATTTCTGGTTTTGACCATCACTACTTTCTGCATTGTTAATAGGGATTCGCGATTGGCATCTTTTCACTCGCACGTTAAAAAAAAACAGTTCAGACGACGACACAAAAAAATTTTGGTATTCCCAGTACTGGTAATCTATTACTAAGGTCAAATTTGAGTAAAAAGCATTATTTATCCTATTACTTAGAATAACCTCGACCACCTCTACTGTTCAGCTAAGAGAAGGTTTAAATCCTCAGGAAAGGCCTGGGACTTTGAGGCCAAGGGAAATAAAAGGAAAGGATGCAATTCAGCTATTAGGAATCACCAAGAGCCTAAGCCTGATGGACTGAATGAAGAGGTACAAAAATTGCTAAATTATGGAAGTAGCAAGGGGTGGATATAAACAACCATCCTAAATTAAAACCAGATGATTCTAAACTTAAATTTATTTGTGGTAGACTGGCCGCCCCACCAAGTGCTGTTGGGACATGCAGGCAGGGTGAACTGTCTACTGTACCCACACCACTCCAACCCCCGCTATGACAAGAGCCATCTGGTGTCTGGAGGGGTGGACTTTGCTGTGTGTCTGTGGGACTTGTACGCTGGCACATTGCTACATCGCTTCTGTGTGCACGCTGGTGAGATCATGCAGCTGATGGTGCCTCCAAATACTTGCAGTGTGAGTAGACAATGTTTGTTTTAAGAGCGTTATTTGTGAATTAAGGTATCTAACGTCGTCCTGATGTAGCTTACTAGTTCAAATCAGACAATAGCATCAGATTTACTCACCCCACCATTGTTGTAGCTGCTTTCCACATGTTTGCAACATTCAATATTGTTACAGCAGCCGATAATTAGAGCACAAAAATATTTGACAGTCAGTATTATTGCAGTAATTAATAACGACTGCAGGAAAATCCACGCTTACACCAATTATAAATTTAGTTCTGTAAATTTCGGTGGTTTAAGGGGTCCAGCTCATATTCCTATTGAAATCATTTGCCAGTTTAGTAGTAAACATTGTGTCCATAGAGAAAAGTATATATGGCCATGAAAAATCTGTGGTTTAGAGAGTTTTCAGAAGGCTGCCTACCTAAAATTATCTATCCGTTTCAGAGAAGATGGTAGCATAAGTTAAAACTTAGCTTTACGGTAGGCATTCGTATATGTGAGGTATTGTCAAACTGAAAGGGAACATCTCTAAGTCTACTATTGACAACAGTAAGCCCTAATTTTCTAAAAAACGTGAGTCCACACATAACATGTCTTAAACTTTCTTCAATGTCTCGGTGGAAACTTGATGAACGTTTATAGCCGTTTGTTTAACTGTGTACATTCTTCTACAAACCTTAAAATTCAACTTGATATATTTTTTTAAATATTGATTACCTACCAGAGTTCAGTTTTACAATGAGAGGAATCACTCAGTGTGCTCACTTGTGTTGTTTGCTCAGTTGAGGGTGCAGAAGTGTGTGTGTTCGGTGGCCAGTGATCACTCGGTGACACTGCTCAGTCTGACGGAGCGCAAGTGCATTGTGCTCGCATCTCGTCACTTGTTCCCTGTAGTGACCATTAAGTGGCGGCCCCTGGATGACTTCATGATTGTCGGCTGTTCCGACAGCACTGTGTACGTGTGGCAGATGGAAACAGGTCAGTGTGTATCCCATATGTTATGTTTGACACATTTCAAAATTTAGCTCCAATTATTGGAATATGTATACTGTATTGCTAATAGTGCCAGTAATGATTCTTTTTTTAAAGACCTTACCTGTTTAACCTAATCTATTAGGCCTAGCTATTGTAGAAATACAGGGTGTCCCGGAACTCTCTACCAATATTTTAGGGCATTGATCCTGGGTAAGAAACGTACCTAAATATTATATTTAAATTGTCCGGAAGTCCTTAGTTAGTCACACAGCCGCCATTTTGTTTTTTTCAGTTATTAATTTTTTTCTAAAGAATGGTTAAACATACGAAATGGAAACTTTGCACAAACATTTATGACAACTAGACAAAGCTACAAAAAAATTATGAAGATTTTTAAAATTCATAAAACTAAATGGCGGCCATTTAAAATGTTCTTTCTTAAATAACTAAAAAACCATTGATTTAAAAAAAAATTAAAATTGCCGCCATTTTGTTTTATGAATTTGAAAAATTGTGATAATTTTTTGGTAGCTTTGTCTAGTTGTCATAAATGTTTGTGCAAAGTTTCCATTTTGTTTGTTTAACCATTCTTTAGAAAAAAAATAATAACTGAAAAAACGAAATGGCGGCTGTGTGAGTAATTAAGGACTTCCGGACAGTTTAAATATGATATTTAGTTATGTTTCTTACCCAGGAGCAATGGCCTAAAATATTGGTAGAGAGTTCCGGGACACCCTGTATATTACATTTTTTTAATGGAAATAAGCAGTAAATAATAAAAACTGAATGGGTGGTTATTTTAAGCCATGTTTACATGAAGCCAGTTGGCATATAGGTTACCTGCCTCAGGTAACTTGAAATACTCTACGGGCAAGTAACCTGCCTGCTCTACTATTGTGTTATTACGGCTTGAGGGATTATTTAATATATTTTCTATCAGTATTAGGAAAGCAAATTTTAACAACCTTTCGGAAGCTATAATCTGAACCCGTTCTCAGATGAGAAAGTACCTTAAACATGATAAGGATAAGATTAGTACCCAAACCTAATCAAAGATGAAAAAGTTTGCTTGTCAACCTTGCAAAAATTATTTTTTTTCACCTACTGTAATAATAAAATTATTTGTAATAAGTATAATCTAGTTTGTAATAACTCTTTTAATGAAATAAACTTACCATCACCAAAAATCAGCTTCAAACAAAAATGATCGAGTGAATTGAAACAACTATGAAGGGAAAGTGAACTAGCATCTCATGCTTTTACATCCGTTGGCAGGACACCTGGACCGAGTGCTTCATGGTATCAGTGCAGAAGAGGTGTTGTATGCTTGTGATGAGACGACTTCCATCACTCAGCCTGGGGAGTCTGGCCTCGCCAATCCTGCGGTGCACTTCCTTCGAGGGCTACGGCATCGGAACATGTCAGCCATCCGACATGCTACACAGGTTCGTCACTACACCCACTATATGAGCTTTCTGATTTATTTCCTTGCTAGATTCTTTTACATAAATAGTACGATCGAAAGTAAGCATGGGCTTAGTTGCTCTTGAAGGGAATGAAAACAAAACAATGAGATAGACTTAATCTGTTTTTCCATAAAACATAACAGTGGGACCTCGATTATCCAAAATTTGTTTAACTGTTACTCTCATCTGACACATCAAAAAGGTGAATATCCCACATCGCAAACTGTATAGCTTATTTGCAAAACCATTGTAATTTTTCAATTTGTAGGCCTTGTAATTTGTACAGTAATTTCTGTCATACGTTTACCACAGGTGATGGTGATTAAAGATTTTACCTTGGGACACGAATGGTGTAGTAGTTTTTCTAGTGCTCGTTCTGTATAGGAGGTTTGAATTCAAATGCCAATAGCCAATAGCTTTTAGCTATGTGAATGCAGTTACCAATCGTTGGATTTCATCTTACGCTATCAAAACTTCTCTAAAAATTTAAAGTTAATTCACTATTTCAGAAAAAAGGACATGTCTTTTTGAAAGCAAGTTAGAGAGAAATTTAAGGTGAAGAAACCTTTTCTGTATTAGAAAAGTTTCTCGACTTGAATAAATTTTATTGTAGTTACTTACTGATTCTTTTTGTGTGATTTTAGTTGTGGTTACATTAAGGTTAGGAAAAAGAAGGAGTGAGAAATGATTAAACACATATTACCATTTTTGGAAACTAGTTTTCCAGTTTTCCTGCAGAGTCACTATAAACAAGTGAATGTTGCAGAGAGGGTTACATCAACTACAGCAGCTTAGTCAGCATCACAACCAGGACGGTAGTGACCACCAGAAGTCCCGAGCCTTCCCACTGATGATCCAGGGACTGCGGACCAACCCCAAGGACCCTGAGAGTCACATTCTCTGCTTTGACATCGAGGCACTTATAGGTGAGGGTACTGCAGATTCAAGTGACGAAGATTAATAATAAAAAATGTTAAGGGTTCAGAACTAAACTCAACTGGTTTCAATGGGGTGAAGTTTCAGTTGGTTGGAGGTAATAAGAGAGCTACACAATGCACATTATACTTTCTACTGATTTATTCATAAGTCGTAAAAATATGCTTGGTATATGCTGCCATTTCAGAAATTATGTTTCACGTTTATGACAAAACAAAGGCAGTGCTTGAATCGTGGAATTTAAGTACTAGATTAAATAAATATTGATTAAAAGCCATATCTTCCAGTGTACTTCCATCTTGTGATTCTTCAAGAAACTTTCCTTCACTCTTCTACAATTCCTCCAAACCTCTCCACCCAAAGACAGTTAGTTATGATTGTCACTTGTATATTGCAGTACAATTGTTGAGTGAGGAGTACAGCGCCATGTCTCCGGGTACGCTAGAGGCTCAGGGACTGATCAACTCCTCAGAATACTTGAAGGTGGCAGCGTTGACTCAATCTGCATCTCCTGATGCCCACAAAAAGATTGCCGGTATGTAAATCACATTAAATTAAATGTTGGTCGTTCAAATATTTGTTGCATTGTACTTCCAAAACTGTAATTGTTTAACAAAATGATTTGTTAGTTATTTCCCTCATATATTCATTTCAAACGTAAGGTGGCAGTAATGTCTCCGGAATTTGAGAGTTAAGTAACTTGATCACTGCATCTGCTCGTCATAGTTCATACTATGGTATACTTCTATACTTTTGGCAAAAAGTATAATATAAACCGAAGTTTGTTTGCTTTGTGACCGGTATTTCTGGGTAGATGCCAAACATGTATTTCGAACACCGAAATAGTTTGGCGGAGAGGTATTTATTCCAGGGGGGACTAGTTTTATAAAAAAATTATTGAGGACAAATTCATAAATTTTACTTTTGTCAGAAAATGGTTCAGGTCATTGCTCTTAGACCTAGGGTATTGAATTCTAGCTTCAGTGTTATTCAATGTCTCACCACTGCCGCTCCTAAGGACCAAACGTTTTCAACCAAGGAGGATACTTGATTTCTATCAGCAAATACTCTTTTTTAAATGCGGTGTCGGTATAAGTACCCAGCTAAAAACTTCAGTTTCTTTTTTGATAACTAACTTAAATATTTTATGGTTATCAAAGGGATTACTTGACCAACTTCATACGATTGCAAGCGAATTCTGCCCAACATGGCTAAAATTACCCAGCAGTCTAAGTGTTAAAGAAAATCCGCTAGACCGATACTTAATTATTGATATCAATTGACATAATTTATAATTGACTAGCTGTAACCCGCGGGCTTTGCCCCGTTTAACTTCTTAATTTTCAAGATTATCTCGTTCGCATGGCTCAATCATGTCCTGGTTGAAGTTTGTTCGCTACGCTCACTCACCTTTAGGTTGGAGCTCGTTCGCTGCGCTCACTTGCCTTCAGGTTAGCTCGTTCGCTACGCCAACTCGCCTCCAGGTTGAAGTTCGTTCGCTACGCTCACTCACCTTTTGGTTGCAAATTAGCTGTTGTCATAAATGTAAAAGAAATAATAGTGCTGCACCCTGTTGGTAATCCTTGTAACTTTAATGCTATTGAACATCATAGAACAGAACCAACTTGTTTAATTGAAACAGCTGTTAAGATTCAATAATTCCATTTCTCATAAGGTTAACATGGGAAACTCCAGAGCCACTGGGGCGGAGCCCGAAAGGATTTTTTGAAATAAGAATATGCCTATATGTTAATCGGGAATGTGAGCTATCATCATGCCAAATTTCAGCCCAATCTGACCAGTATTTTTCGAGTTTACTTTTCCCATACACACATACAGCAACCACCTCTTTTTTATAATAGTATAGATAGATATTGAATGATTCAGTTTAGTGGGGTTTTACAAAAACTATTGACATTGTTTTAGTCATAGGAATATCACAAACATTACTGCCAATAAATTAATTGAGGATTATGGATTAATCATGATAGCAAACAAGTTTTTTAACCTCAAATCTTCTTTGCAATGCTTACGAGGACAGATTTCTTTGGAAAAGTGAAGGACAAGGCAGGAGATATGGAGAGAATGCTTAAAGAAAAGGATAAACATGGTAAAAATGTTTCCCGCAGCATGCTTTATATTCAGTATTTTATTTTTTGAGCGGAGCGAGCGAAGCGAGCGTAGCTCTTTGGGATCAACTTCAATGCAACAAATAAAGCAACATCACTCAATAACGGCAGAACACATTTCAGCTAAACTTAACAAGATTACTTAGACTAATAGTGAGATGGTTAATAAACAAACAAATTTCAATTAGATAATGCTAATGCAATTTAAAACGAACTTAAAATTTCCAAATTTTAACATTAGGCTTATGGGACTAAAGTAGCCATATGACAGTTTTTTGTTTACAAGAAAAATGTAAACAAGAGAACCAGTGACTACTTTCTTGGGAACCTATTTGTGTTGCCAGCTGATCAGAAACAGCCAATGTTAGAAATCAGGATTTAATAAGCGATATATTGAACCGAATCGAAATCGATATTTAATCCGATAATACATCACAGGTTATATTATGTTGAATTACATCGACGGTGCAGTAAGTTATTACACTTATTAATAAAACGCAGATTGAACACTGATCTAATTTAGGCATGTGGGGAAGGTAGGTCGGGGTTTATGAGTATTCGTGACTACATGTTTTGAAATAAGGTTAGATTTGGGAGGTAAAGTGTAGGTTATAGCGAGTATGTTTTATCTATGGTTATAGGTAGGTGATCGAGTTGTTTATTTGTGTTGCACCAAATAAACTGATAATATTTTCCTGGTCACAACTACTATAATGCACTTTTGGAAGAGGTATCTGAATAACAAGATGTAGTATAAACAAGTCTGAATTATTATAATTTTAATCAATAAAACCAGCATCTATTGATTTTTTACATTTAGTTACTTTTATACAAATATCAAATCACGTTTGTTCCGCTCAACTGGCTTTCACCTCTCTGAAAGCAACCCTAGTATATTGATGATTCTGATATTGTTTTGATTCTTGAAAGACTAAAATAAAACTATGAGTACATTTTCAATCTAAAGCTTGTTGTTTTAGTGTTTGTGCAATTCATTTGTTTAGACTTCTTTCGAGTGTTGTTAATAAAAAAGTTTTATTTGTAGTATTACTGGAAAAGGTATTTACCAGTCACTGAAGTCAAACACATTACTGGAAAGTCTCTGTTTTTACCAGGAAATCACAGAAGATTCTGATAAGTCACTTAATTTAATTTAAATGCATTCTGTGTTACAGATTTTTATAATTGCTACAGAAATAAAATATATGAAAACAGATCATTTAAATATTAATACTCCAAAATAAAAGCCACAATAAAGAATTTGCTTGTTTTAACTATTCATTTCAAGTCAACACAAAAGTAGATTTTTCTGTGTATCCATACTCTCAAAATTTATTCAGTGATCAACTGATTTTTTCTTAAATCAAAGTGGTTTTTCCTATATCAGAAAACCCATGGATATTACATGTAAAGATGTTGTTGAAAGGTCACAAGTTTTGATTTAAGGAAACTGGTAGATGCCCTGCAATACCTTTGGTAAATGTTTTAATTTAAACTGTACAAACTTTATTATTGCCAGTTATACCTTTGACTTTTTCCTTGCATTCTCGTTTTAAAATTAATTGTTGCCAGTTTTTGAATAAAAATGAACATAGTTTTATTGAGCCATAGACAGATTGCGTTGATTTGAATTACTGGTTTCTGCCGAATACACCAACCTATCTAATATGCCAAGCCAAACTGAAAGGAAAAGTTTTTGTAAATCATAGCAATTTTCTTAGCACAAGTTTGAGGGAAAAGTGGATTTTGTTGTAAGATAACATGGCTATGGGATGGATGGGATGTCTGCTTCAGTATTGTTAGGTTAATTTCAGTACACTAACATTTGTTCCTTTTCCATAAAGTGCATATCCTACTCTTTATATGTATACAATTTTAGCGTTATATGGTTTTTCTTGCAGGTGTGTTGGCCAAACTGAAGGAAGGAGCGGAGAATGTACAGACCAAGCTGCAAGCCAAGGCAGAGAGTGTCGGCTTCCGTCCTATCAACCCTGAGGCGACAAGTCGAGGTTAGTCTTAAGTTATTGTAAAAAATCTCCTGAAACTGTTTTGCTTTTAAAACTCAACCTCTTTGGTCGGATCTCCGGTTAACCCAAACAGTGAATAACAATTTAACTCGGTTAGGCCTACAACATAAACGTCAACTAGATTTTATATACATTTTAGTAGCGCTATTGCTTTATACAATGGCAAATCGAGCAGTGATTGTGTTTCTGCCGTTTTTACAACCGAGTTTGTTTGCCATGACTGTACATGTGAGGCCGGACTGTAGTATTTGCACCTGAGTCATCATCATTATTTTGGATTTTTGTGAGGTACAGCTTTAATTTTTCAAGTTTCTTTCTCTGTAGTAAAAGAATTTTAAGTAAATGTTTAGTTTTAATATAGGCCTCAAAAGTAGTAGTTTTTTCACTTTGCTAAAACAATTGGCAATCTACAAGATTTGAATTTTAAATTTCAGGACTTGTTTCCTGTTTAAAACAGAATGTGTCAGAAGGTCTAGGCTGTGGTGGGTAACTGTCATCCTAGCTCCTGCAATCAGCAATGTAACGGTTATATATAATTTCAATATTTAGTTAGCAGTGTGAAAATAGTCCTTATGTGGGAATTGTGTGATTTAAGTTGATGAGGTTGGATGATATAAGTTTATCAATATGATTTGGCGAAGGGGTTATACCAACAATATGTTTTCTATCACTTCTAGAAAAATGTCTAAACTCATCTATGTAGGTATAACATTGTTGGTTTATACAGGGTGGCCACAGACCAGTAATATTTCCCATTATTCTTGTAATATGGATATAAGACAAATTTTAAGAGTTTGGGTTTGACACCAAATGACGTTCTGTATTTGCTAGAGTAAACAGTAAACACCTATTAATCTCCGTTAGCACAATGAAATCGTGAACGTCTTCTGTGGTCTTGGTAAAATCTAGAACATCTTCCAAGGTTACGGCAAAATAGTAATCATTGTCTGCAGTAATGGTAAAATTGTAAAGTTGTGTGAAGAAAACAACCAAACAGCAAGTAGTTTGTTAATAACTACTATTTGTAAGAACCTTCTGTAGGCTAAGATTTTAAAATTTATAATAATAAAGCCAACTGATGGATTATTTTTTAATGATTTTTCTTCAAAGAAAATATTAGGAGTATTTTGCATTTATGTAAACTTGTAAAATAATAATATAGCTGTTTTGTTATCATGCATTTTCATGTAACATTTAAGTTAATGAAGTACATTCTATAGCAGGATGGTAAACTGAAGTCAGAATGAAACTAGCAAATTGAGAAGGAAAGATTTATTGCAATTTTTACATTGAAGAGAGGTAACAGTCAAAGTGTGGTTGTAATGCCCAAAGAAGTTGTAACACCGTTGATGGAAATTTCCGCTAGAACCCAACTGGGGTCTCTATCAGCTCTGGTACTGAGCGGAGAGGTGGAGAAGGGGAGTAATTACTTGGCGAAAGCGTAGTTGAAGGGGTAAGCGGAGTATGGGTAGGCAGCGGAGTATGGGTAGGCAGCGGAGTATGGGTAGGCAGCGGAGTAGGGGTAAGCAGCGCTGTAGGGGTAAGCAGCGCTGTAGGGGTAAGCAGCACTGTAGGGGTAGGCTGGGGCAGCGTAGGCAACGGGGGCGGCTACAACAGCGGGGGCAGCAGCCAGGGGAGTAGTGCTGGCTGGAGTCTGGACTGGAACAGCTTCACGACGAGATCGGCTCTTGGTCTTCTCAAACTCAGCGAAGAAACTGGCCTGCAATGTTCGGGCAGATTGTAAACAATTGGTTGACACACAAGTGAATCTGAGTTATTGTCTCGTGCTAATCTTTTTACTTTACATATTAAGCTTTTATAGTTCAATCACTTTTATCTTAGACGAGTTAATCACAAAATTAGATTTATAATTACATAGAGGATTTGATCTCAATTAGTTAAAATTAATTAAGATGCTGTTCATTGACTGTTTGTAAGGCGTACTAAGCATTTGAGGGGTCATGAATGCAAGCGCAAGGTAAGAAATTTGCACTGTAGCGTGACTGCTATCAGGGGTAATATTTTTGTCAAAGTATGTGAGTAGGTTTTGTTTTATGTTCATACTCTTGTTTGGATCCGGAAAATTTTTGGATTAGCGGAATTCTACTGTACTTTTTCTTGTTACTTTTGAGGCTAATTTACTATTTCAAAATTAATTTTTATGTTTGTTTAACTATTGTAAACTTAAAATTAGTTTACCGCAAAAATAAACAATCGTATGTGCCTACTAAAAAGCTGTCATTGTACATATTTGAATTGATCTGACTCACCTTGGCGGCAGCTACCTCAGGGGTGTCAGACACAGGGGTGGGCTGGGCGAGGGAGGCAGCAGGCAGGTCGTTAGAAGCAACACGGTAGCCGAGGGCGTCAGCAATGTAGTTTGTCTGGACGAGCTTACCTTCGGGGTTGATGTAACTGAAGCTGCCAACCTTGTTACCAGCTGCGTCCTGTAATAATAATCAAACTGTGAATCTGATAAATTACAATAAGGGCATCTAAATCATTGCCAACAGAAATAAAATAAAATCTTTTTTAACACTTTAAGACTTTAGTGTTGTCCTACAACGATGATAAAATTGAGAAAATGTAGATTTAAAATCGTAGATGAGTAAAATCATTGTCAAAGTAAACAAAATATTGTTTAAACATTATTAGCCTCTTGATCTTGTAATAATAAGATAGCAATTGCCAAATACTGAAACTCCAGATCTAAAACGGTGATAGGTAACTGAACTATTGTCAAAGTAAATCAAATAAAATCTATTTATTATATTTTTAGTCTCGGAATTACTTTTATCTTTTATCCTTGTATGTTTTTATACAAATAGATGGATTACGTTACTCTCTTTACCTGGACTACGCTCTGGGCCTGAGCGGGCTCGGAGAATCCGTAGCTGACTTGTCCAGCGATGTCCTGGGCATAATACTGAGTCTTGACACCAACGGGGGCAGCGTAGGCGTAGGGGGCGGCGAAGGGAGCAGCGTAGGGAGCGTAGGCAGCATAGGGGGCAGCGTAGGCATAGGGGGTTACCAGGGGTGAGACTGCTGAGTAGGCGTAGCCAGCGAAAGGCTTAGCCACAGCGCAAGCGGCAACAGCGCAGAGAACAACCTACAAGAATAGATTTTTTTTAAATGTTTGCTTGTAATATGATCAGTGGGCTATGATTGTGTTTGATTGTTTTTTTGTGAACAGAAATAAAATTTGATATTTTAAAATACTGTTTAAAAGTAAATGCACTTTTTCAACATATTTCTAAATTCTTTTACCATGTGAGACAAAGCTTGTATTATCTAAAATATAGAAAATATACTTCCCTTTTCAATCATAAAAATAGATCTACATTTTTTCTGAGTCCTACTGTATAAATAGATTTTAATATATAACAATAAACTATTACAACAGCAGCAATTTTTTTGTTTTTGCTCACAAAAACTGGAACATTGTTTAACTAGAAATATAATTAAGATATTTTTTTATTTTACTGTTAACTATAAATATAATTATTGATTTTAGTTTGCTTCAAATTTCAACTAAATTACAAACATTCATACAGCTGCTCATCTATATAATTAAAAGAATTTTTAGGAATTTTGTCTGCAGCAAAATAGTGAAACAGGCTTTAACATTATCAAAACTCATGAACAAGAAAAAATTGTAAGACTCCTAAAAAAACCTTTTGGGCAACCTAAAGCCTATAAAAGGACAGAAAATATTGTATTAAAAAGAATCATCAACAACTTTTTAAGGTACACAATCGTCATACGCATTATTATGTTTATCCTCCCTTAATTTAACTAAGATTTTAATAACTTCACTCTATTTATCGCAGTTAGCTAAATTTACGTAAAACCTAAAGAGTAACCGTCGAATTCGACGGGTTTCACCTAGTTGGGTATTAATTTAAAGCTCTTATCCTCTAGATGTGCCTTTTGCGGGTTTGGATGAATCCCGTGAAATCCCTTCGTCATATTGGCTTTTAAAATTTCATAGTTTGTGCTGAACTCAGTTGTTAATCATCTGAACTTTTTCAAGTTTATATTAAATTTGTTTACATCAAAACAGATGGCCATGATAAAATGTTGTTTTACATCCATACGAAAATGGGGTTATCTGTGGTTGGTGATGTTTCAGTGAATTCAAGTAAAATGTTGTTATTTGTGCAAAAAGTAAAGAAGAAAATTACTTGCGTTAGATTTTCTGTTTTCATTGTATGCTTCATTAGTATTTGTAATTTTTCTAAGATGCCTAGAAGAGTTCGCACACGCAATGATAATAATAGGACTCACAATACAAATAATAGTGACATAATCGTTCCCACCCTTATCCACTAAACTATATATCAAATATGTCACGGATTTTGAAGTCACAAAGTGACGCAGGCTGCTAGTTAATGTTAAACATATTCTGATATTATGAATGTTCAAACTGTTACTTTGGCAAACAACTTCTAAACCTACAGCCAGGATACATTGTCACTATATAAGTTATCATTAGTTATTTCTTACTTTGTTTTAAAATTTTCTACTTAAAACCAATTACTTATGCAGTCTCAAGGCCGGTTCACTAAAATATAAGTCTATGATTTCTATCCAGTTTTAACCTTTATGTTAAGGTTTTTAAACAAGAGCCCCAGTTAATTTAAGTTGGAATAAAACTTATCGAATGAGGAGTTTTTCTTTATTTGTATTGTATGTTTACAACTCGCACACATTTTTACTTCACCCTAATGTGTTGTAGAAGACAGGGGATATTGCTTTACTCCTTAGCAAGCTTCTAGATGTTTTACTCATTACAATAAAAATAAACAAGTTTGTCCGGATTAGCTTTTTAAAAACCTAATAAGATTGGTAGCAATATTCCAGTTATTTTGTGCATAAACCCTTGCTTATAATAAAACACTCTGTACAGACAAAAAGTAAAAAGCTTGAATAGCTTTGTTACAGGAAACACTCTAGGCCAGGATATTGAATTGTAGAACAAAGGGGATAGCAGCAAGCTTACCTTGTAAGAAGTACATTGAAATCATAGATCACACAAAGAAGAGTCCCCTATGTGTTTCATCTGTCCTCTATGTGTTTTATGGCCAACCTGTACTTCTTATAATGTAAGCTAGCTGCTATCATCTTTATTCTACATTTTAAAATGCTTAAATAGTGTATTTAGAATTAAAATACAGTTAACTAATGATATATTTTATACAAACACTCATGCATTTATTTAACTCATGGCTGCAAGATGAAGGGGTGTAAGTATATAGGCTTATCATTCTGTAGTTACACCCCTTCATCTTGCAAGCGTCTAACTAATAATTTTTTATTTAAACAACAAACTTTTTCAATTTCTCTAATTAAAAGCTAGCAAAAATTAACAGGATATTGAAACTGTTTTGTTCTGTAGTGACTAGGACTTCCCCAGGATTATGATAAATTTTAAAAAGTAAAAATTATTGGTTGAATTAAAGAAAGTATAAAAAATGTTTAGTAGCACTTACCAAGAACTTCATGATGAGAGAGGAGACAGTTCAGTCAGAGACCCAAGACTGATGAGCATGTGTCTGCCCCCCCCAATATATACCAGCCCCCAAGGTCGGTGAAGCTCATCCACCCGCTTTTTGCTTGTTTTTGTGTATCGTATCGCTCCAACCAAAAGTTCTTTTTCCATCACACCCGCTAAATGGGGCTTTAGTTGATTTCTATAAAAATGTTGTCCATTTGAAACCAAGACAATTATTTCAATTATATATTTTGTTTAGGATATGGAAAAGGCACTGGTTAGAATATGTCTTTTGTAAGCACTTTAGAAAGGGTACAATAGTTAAAACCATCAACACAATCACTCTACTAACTTTTATTGTTAGGCTACTTCAGTAAAACAGTACATTTTATAAACAAAAATATAAACCAAGCATTGAGATATGAAGGCTAGTTTGTCATTAATTTGATTTCAATAACAAATTTATATCCACCAGTATTTTACATGTTTGTAGAGATGCCTGTTTTCAGGTCCATAGCTAAGGGGTAGTGAGATGGGCACCCACCAAGGGCACCGCTATGTTGAGGGCGCAAAATTTATCATGAAATATAGCCTACCCTTATTAGTGTTTTAACTATAGATGGATGGGTCCCGAAACTGTCAAGAAAACATATTCTTGCTGAATGTGGGCAGAATTACAATAAATTCAGGATTATTTGTTATATACGTCAGTGATTTCACCGCGTCATGAGTGGCAATAATGATGTCTTTGCAGCTGCAGGAGATGTTCGCGATGATGTCGCAAACTCAGAAGGCAATCATGATATCCCCGTGATTATAATTTTGCTAAATAGCAGGTGACGATAATGGTTGTAGGTGATAATTTTGATTTTGCTTCAATCGCCAAAGATGTTCAAGATGGAACCGCGGCCGCGAAATGTATCTATAACTATTCTACGACTGCGGGAAACTATAATAATGGTTCTGTTATCGCAGGAAATGTTTATAATTTTGTTGCTAAGGCGGGTGGTGCACCGGCAATCACAGATTATAGTCATAATGACAATGTGATGGATATACAATACAAAGTTGATGATTACTGCATTTACCAAATCAGGCCTTTTTTACAGTTTTTGTTACCTGTGTGTTTTATCCATATTTTGATGGTTGTAAAACAGTGTATAGACTACAAATTGATTTTAGTAACTTTGATTTCATTTATTTTTGCCAAATTCTAAAATATTGATACTGTGTATTTTTAAAATAATCGGCACTCTCGTACAGTATTCATTGGCAGTTTACAGTATTCATAGAACATAGGGTGTTACATAAATAATAACCTAAAAATCTTCAAGAAATACAGTAGAAAAATAAAGTGATTAGAACCTACTACAGTAGAGTCCCGCAAACTCGGCACTCCTTAACCCGGCAGTCTGGATAACTCGGCCATCACCTGGCTCAGTTAATTAGTGATTTTTTGAGTCCGAGTTAAACATGAACTCAAGCCATCTCAAGTCAAATCATTTGCAACAATTAGTACAATTTGATGTACTATATCCGATGACTTAATACTGACTTGTAATATAAATATAAATAAAAAAGGTGGATTTTTGACCCTATTTCCCAATAAACCGGCATTTCACAAACTCGGTATTCTTCCAGTTTACATTACGCCGAGTTTGCGGGACTCTACTGTATTTCTCACATTACTGGATTTTCAAGAAAATTCCCAATCCTCACCTCATCTCCGCCAATTGCAGCAGGGGGCACTAATTTCAGTAATTTCTTAGTTTTGCCAAGGGGGCAGCCTTGTCTAGCTACGACCTTGTCTGTTTAAATCAACCCTGCCAGTGTCGGTTAAGAGAGGGTGTACTGTACAATGGTTTTATAAGAATGTTATAAGAATGGGTGTGTGATAGTGTATCTATTTTGCAGGAAACCTTTTTCCATACGTATTGATCAGTTGAATAACCATTATAAAAGTCTTCAGTGGTCCTGTAGGCTTCTGGTAAAGCTATTAAATAAAAACAACATAACAAACAATAATAATTGCTGACAAATCTAGCAGCCCTGAAGTGGCTTGCTTCCCAAAACGCCCAACGAAACCAAACATTAAACATTGAACATAAAACATTATTGTTTATTTTGATTATTTAACTTGAAGGAAAAACCAGAATAACCTAATTGTTTTATATTTATGGGTTATCTTTTCTTTATCGCCCCTATTAGTATAAGGAAATAGTATATTTCATCACTAGGAGCAAAAGTTGCTCTTTTTGCTACTCAATCGTGTTTAACAAGCGAGGCACAGCCAGAGCTTGGAAATACGATTAAGTACCGAAAATACACATCCGCTCCTTGGATAAACAACTATTTTTATCATACTGTGGAAATGAAATAACCCTCTAATTGTTCCAAAAGTAGATGATTTGAGGTTATACAAAGTCGTCATCCATGTTTACATTTCTGTTGTTTACTAACATAACTTAAAATATTGTGTGATTAGCAGCGTAAACCAATGTGCCATAAACAAACTTTAAGGTTAGCGAACCAAAAAATTTACCATATGCTTTTTATGTTCCCTATCTGAAGTTACCTGAAAACTATGATTTTGCAGACGATTTAGAGAACTATAAACGGGTGTTTTCCAGACAGTACGAGGAAAAGTATTTTTCCCTTAACAGTTTTGATTTTGAGTTTTGGGTGGAAACATACGTTTTGGGCTCCCCTGATCCCCAAAAATGCTGTTTGAAGTGATAAGTTTAACTGTTTGTATGTGGACGTGTACAAAGCTACAGACTACTACTGTGGTCCAATTTTGATGAAATTTTGTATGTTTGTAATCCTTTGATTCTTCAGGCATTGCTTTTCATTTTGATTATGATATTTTGAATTTGGAGAACCTCTGAAATCATATTATTTTTACCTGATGGTCGTGGTGTGTTTGTATGTAATTTCATTTTATCATTTGTCATATTAGAAACTTTGTTGTTTTATTTTTTGTCATAGAACACTATTATTATTACTGAATCTTAATTTTTAACTGCACCCAATTAAAATGAAATCCCGTAAACTGTAATAAATAAATACCTATCTATATAAATAAAATTAGAGTTTTGTCTGTACTTTGCTCAGAATTATATACTTTTAGGTTATTTTTACGTTTTATACATTAAAGAAGCAGAAACGAGTCTTATCTCTATTTCTGTCTGTCTGTCTTTCCCTTTGTCTGTAACACTCAAGATGGCATTTTACGCAATCTTCTTCGTGAAAACCAGAGTACCTATCAAGATCCAAGTCATTTTAATGTATTCACTGGATTGGCGAGAGTGTCTTTAGTGATTTAAATATAGCCTCACTACTTTGTAAATAAAATTACGGACGTTCAAAAATGCAGTTTTGTGCGATTTTTGTCAAATTTTCGTTCAATTTTTATCACATAATCGTCTATGAAATAACGAACAGCTGTTCGGATCAAGATTATTTTTTCTAGCTGTCAATGATATGTTTACAAATGTTGTTTACAAATACTGCAACCATTTCGAATCACGTTTTGAAAGCAAATCCCAACCAAGTGAGATTAAAAACGTTTTTCTTACATAACGGATTTAATTAATCGCAAGTGCAATAATATAGTCTAATAGTGTAACCGTAAATGAAATTAAATAACTAGACATCATCCAAACCGGAACCAGAAATTCTTTGAGTATAAAATGTTTCTTGAGTTTTGACAACCATAAAGAAGACCTTGAATCAGTGTTGTATAGGGCTGGACACTGAAATGATCGTCGCCAATAGCTTACAAAAAAGGTTTCCACTCAGTGACGGCGCTTCAATGGTGGTTGTGTAAAGTGTAAAGTAAAAAATCACAACTGCAGTGGGTGATTGTAACAGAGGTTTAACAGAGGAAGTGATAAACTCGCTTTTCCAATGTGTCACTTTCTGTTTTTACTCACCGTGTGATGCAATCGCTGGACCATACAGCCAATAGGCCCATAGCTCATATCTTGGGTACGTAAGCCTACATATTTATTCATAACAACCTTTTTGACGACGATCCTTGACACCGGTACTTATCCATAGAATACATGGCCTACCTACTTAAGAAATATAATTACAAATGACCAAAACCCCATTATTGTGTGATTTTCGTCACATTTCCTTCTAATGTTAATAGATATACTAATCATTGTTTAGAGAATGAGTAATCTATTAAATAACAAAAAGTTGTTTGGGTAAGGTTGTTTTTTTTTTTCAAACTGACACCGATAAGTTTACGCTATAACTTTTTACGAGAAAATCCAAAAGCAAGAGATCAATAACCTTGGGACTAGATATTAATGTATTTAATTGGTCGGATGTACTATAGTTCTTAGGTAGGTTCTTACGTAGGTACTGGTTCTTTTCCCTATGTAGAACCGTTGGTAGCTGCTAGAATCATTTTTACGTAGGTACCAACACATCACTGTAATTTACAAATTAGTTATCGTTGGTGTTGCACCTTATTTATTAGAGCCGTCCGTATTCAATTTAAGTGATGTCTTAACACTGTATAAGTTTTGCTTTTTCTGTCTGGATTCCAAATCTTAGCTTACCCGGTATGCTAAGAAAATGATAACCTATTTGAGTCAAACATTTGTTGGGCAAACCATCATGAATTGTTTACGCATTTATATTGTTTATGTATCAATAGTTCGTGGCCTTTTTTGGATTGTTGTGTGTAGGCCTATGTCTGTTGATAACGCATTAATGTCCTTATTTCTCAGTGTTTCACGGAATGGACAAGAGCACCTTTGATACTGAAAATGTCAACCGGAATAAAGTGTTAAATGGTGAGGTTGAGGTAGTACTTTAAATACGTTTAAGTTAACCGATGTGGAAAGTAACTTTCAATTATAGGCCTACTTTAGGGCTACGCTTCATGGATCTATAAAACATTTTTTAGTTTAATCATTGGACATATGGACCATAACGATCCGGGTGACATTTAATTGCGAAGCATTTATTTTGGCTTGAACTGTCAGATACTTTATTTGCGAAGGTTTATATATAATAGTTTTGCCAGCATATCTGCAAATATGCAAACTAACTGCTGTTCTTAATCTTAATATAAGAAGGTTTCAACTGACTACTATAAGATCCCCGTGCGTA